GTCATGTTTCAAGACAAAGGAAAGGAAGTCGAAGAATCTCCTACGCCATTATCAACTGCAGTAAGTTCTGAAAAAGTGGTCTCTTCTGCTGAAACAACCTCATCTTCTCTTGTGCTGAAAACTCTGGAGGAGTTGAAGAAAGAAAATGTTGTGTTTAAGGAAAGGTTAGACAAGCAGGATGAAACTATCAAGGAAATTAAGGGGATGCTTGGGGAACAAGAGGAATCAAACAATCAGATCAAGAGTTTATTGGAAGCCTTGTTCACACAACTTCCACCTCCTCAACCTTAATTCTGGAAAATTGTTTCTTTCTCTCTTTCTTTTGTTTCTTATTTCAATCTTATGGTTATTCATCTACTTCTGTTTATCTTGATCCTTCTTGAATATAAAATTCATTTTAATATTTATGTGTTTTTATTGTTTTTTTATTCTTGACAAAAAAATGGGGAGAACGTAAGATATTTTGAATATAATAGTATTGAGACTCAGTCTCAAATTTTTTGAATATTATAACTTCTATTTTTTATCCTCTGGAAGCAAACAGGAAAAATCTATTGAAAAGCAACCTCTGAAAGTAAACTCTATTGAGGATAATTATGGACGCATAAAAAATTTCCTTCTCAAAGCTCTAATCAGAACATCTTCAGAGAAGTATTTTTTTATTTATGTGAGTATCCAACTTAGGGGGATACTTTAATTCTTTCTGTTCTTAAAGTATTCTATCAAACTATACAAGTTTTTGTCATCATCAAAAAGGGGGAGATTGTTAGAACATAGTTTGGTTCTACATCCTTGTAAGAGTTTTAATGATAACAAACACACAAAGAACAATTATGCTATCGAATAAAGTATTTTAATATGAAGGGAAGTTATGATGTAAGAAGCATAGAAGATGATAAAGATCATTGATAAAGATCTGCTATGACACATCTTACTTAGAAGCAAATATGTGTAACACGCTTAAATGAAGAAGTTTTGACGTTACAACTTCTGAATACAACAACGCTGCGAACAAGAACTCTAATATTCTGATACGTAAAGTTTTGTAAAGAACTAAAGGAATCTCAACAGTAATATTCATCTTTTGATATGATCTTTAGTAAGCATGTTCTGAAGCGTTGCATTTTATTCATTGCAAATCAAAAGTAACGGCTGAATCTAGACAATAATCTCTATGTTTGGAAAGAACATAAACTACTATTTATCAACCTTCCAAAAGAATCTTCTCATGTCTCTCATGAATCGCCTATATAAAGAATACGTGAAGAAGAAATCACATATGATATTGCTGCGCATTGAAAAATAGAAATCTCATTACCTTTCTATCTTGTGCTTTTCATTTGTGTAATACATCACTGTAGTGATATTTTTTCATCTATAAAACATATTTTTACACACTTTCAATTATATTATTGTGTAATACCTTGAGAAAGCCAAGTTGTGGTTTAATCTCAAGAAGACTTTGACAGTTGTCATTGTATTTGTGTAATCAAGTTTGATTAGTGGATTAAGACCTTATTTGAGAGAGGAAAAATTACCTTGGCGGGTGGACTGGAGTAGTTTGAGTTCAAACGAACCAGGATAACCAACATGTCTATTGCTTTAGTTTTAAAAACCCCAATTGAAACCCCTCTTTCTTGTGTTTTTCCATTCTTCACCGGCTTCACAGGTGATACCCCTTCTTCCTGTTTTTTCTTGTTCTCTCTCACTTCCATCTCTAATTCTATGGTACTACCATCAAATTTACCTCATCTTTCTTTTCTTCAGCAACTTTCTCATTCCTTGTTGTGACAACATTAACATTCTCATGATTTTTCTGATTATCTTGTGCTCGCAGGGTTACCTGTTGTGCAATCTGTCCCATTTGAACTTCCAATTTTTTTATTGCAGTTGTCGTATTCCTGTGATTACTCATTGTCTCTTCTTGAAATTGAGAGGTGTGCGCATCCATATCTTTAATAGCCACCTCCCACTATGCCTTTTGAGGAGCTTGTTGATGCTGATCTTTCCAGGAGAAGTTAGGATGATTCTTACACCTAAGATTATAGGTGTTAGAATATGGGTTATTTTTCCTCAAGAATTTTATCCCCTAAATTTGTTATGGAGTTGCAAGACATTGCAAAGTAAGGTGAAGTCCACTACAAATTTCATAAGCAACCTTTTGTACATGTTGAACCTGAGCTACCTATTGAGTACCCATGTTCATTGATTTCAGCTTTTACTCTACTTCTGCAGCAATTGCTTCTTCAATTTTCAATTGCTTATTAATTTCTAACTTCAGTTCAATCACCCCCTGGTTTACTCACAACCCTATCATATAGCTCCAGATTATCATTTGCAGCAATGGCTTCAATAATCTTCTTCACACCAGTGACTGTTGTAAAGTTGGATGAGCCACCAGGTGCTGTATCAGTAAGTTGCTTTGTCTTCATTCGTAGGCCATTTACAAACATTTCCATTTGCTCAATTTGACCCATGTTGTGAGTGGGACAATCTACTAATAACCTCTTGAACCTCTTATAAGCCTCACCTAGCAATTCTCCTTCCTTCTTCTTAAATTTCACAATATCATATTTTTTGCGAATATAAATAGAAGTAAGAAAGTACTCATCAAGAAATATCTTCTCCATATGTTCCCAAGTGGTGATACTTCCAGCAGGCAATGAGTAAAAACACTCTTCAGCATCTTCAGACAGTGTGAACAAGAACATCCTTAATTTCTTGGCTTCTTCAGAGTGCCCCTCTATCTTCAAAGTAGTACTCATAGTGAGGAATCTCTGCAAATGCTTATTGGCATCTTCATTGATCTTTCCGGTGAAAGATCTGTTCTCGAGCAGGAGCATGGTTGAAGGACGCTGTTGTAAATTTGCAACATTGACCAGTTGATTCACAATAGTTAATTGACCTGCTGGAGCATTTTCTCCTCCATAATCCCCAAGAAGTCTCTCTGGTGGTGGTGGGTTTTCACCCATAGTTTATGGTTCTGATTCTGAACCTGAGTCTGTATATCAAAATAAAATTTAGCTGAGGGTTTTCCTCGCATGCAAAGGTTAGGAAAATCAGTAATAACAAAAATATAAAAATTACAAAAAAGGAACTTTAGTTGCAGAGCAACAAAATTCTGATTGAACTCAAATTACACTCAATAACTAGGCATTCCCGGACAACAACGCCAAAAACTTGATAGAAAAATAGCAAGTGTACTATTTTGCCTCTTGTTATAATATGTAATTTTCCCCAAATGTCGATCTTAAGGGCTGCACAGAATTACCGAGTTTAATGCGTGGTTCAATTAAACAAAAACTTAACTTGGGGATTTGGTTTTAGAAATTGTCACTTAAGAATAAGCAGAAATGTAAATATGCTTTTTCACAGATATGATGAACATGCTAGGGTGTGGTGTGTAATTTTTCCTATAACGACCTTGAATCCCGATTTCTTCAACAAGTTCATAACATTCAACTACCAGCCTTTTAGATTATTTCCCCCAAAGTCCTTAGTGAGAAAATCTTTAACCATCCATCCTAAATGCTAAGTCCTTAGAGATATCTAATGGAGTCATGCCTTTATTATATCAAGAGTGATCTGGTAACTACATGGTATCCCTAGTCCTAGGTGATATCTACTATAGTCTATTCGTACAAAAATCTTAACAACCGCGGTCCAGATGGTTGTTAACCGTGAATAAATCCTAATTGGTCCAATCAGGAAAGCATAAAAACATTGCACGATTAAATTGAATAAGAAAACAACTTTATTAAAGAACTCAGGAATTCATAATCATTACAGATTTAAATCAGGGACACTCCCTATCATTGGTGGGTTTAGCCATTCATATTGTTCACGAGAATTACAAAAATATAAGAATTACACATTACAGATTATGAAGGAACTTTGGTCTTCAATTGCGTACGCTCATGAAAGATCTTCGTTCTTCAAGAATCTCATATCCTCACTCCTAGACTCTAGAATTTGTTCTCTCCAACAAAAGGTCTCTAATTCTTCTTCAAAACTCATCTAAATAGAAAACATTCACTTAGGTCGACTGGAAATACCCAAAACACCCTCACATGCCAACTATAGAGCAAAATAATAACAAATCTTAAAATCAGCGTCGCACCCCAACACGGGTCCTATCAGGCAACACAGGTGCCCGTGTTGGACCTCTGGGAATTTGTCTTTTTATTTTCTGATACAGACCTCTTGACACGGGCCGTGTCAACTGATACGGGCGCCCGTGTCGGACCCCTGACTTCCATTTCCTTTGTTTCATCCTAGCCTTCATCTTGACACGGCCCGTGTCAGGTGACATAGGTGGCCGTGTCAGGCCTCCTGTACATGGATATTTTACTTTCTCTGAAAATATGAGTTTTGCGCGCTTTCACACTGATTTATCTCGATTTATTCTCCTGAGCCTAAAAATAGGAAAAACACACAACCATAGCATAAAATGAAGAAACATAAAGCAAACCGCTTGACAAAATAAAGAATAGATAATTAAAAACAACACTAAATAACTGTGTAAATACCATTGATCATTGTTGTACACTGAATTTGGTTAACAATATTGCGTGTTGTTTACTTTCTATAATGTTTATTGTGTTATATCATGTTCATTATGTTGAAGTCAGATTACAGTGTCTCAGCATCTCTTAAGATATTTGTCATCTGAATACGAAAATTTGAAATAGTATTATGGAGATTAGAAGAGTAAACCTTGCTATTAGTGGATGGGGACTTTTAGTAACGAAGGAATTCAAATGAAGTGGTAACTTGGTAATTGTACCATGTGGGTATATAAGTTAAATGGCTAGTGGAACCCTTATATTTTCCATTCCTCTCTCACTCAAAATCAGAAACGACAACAACTTTAGAGAGATAGAGAGAATATGAGAGGGCGGGCAAGGAAGAGATAAAGAGATATTGGAGTAGAATTATCTTGCATGTCCAATTTGTATGAATTCTTGATAGAATGGTGAAGAAAGCTTGAAGAAGGTGCAATGCTGATTGGATTAAGGAAGCATCATCATCTTCTCATCACACTTAATGGGATCAGAATTTACAATCAAGAAGGAAGAAGATTGAATCTAACTTGGAGAAATCTCAATTGCATGCAAAAAGATCTTGGAATAAGGAGAATTGAAGATTGCTATCATCATCCATCATCTTCACGACCTCCTTTCGTAATTCAGGTCCCTTTTAAGCAAGGTGGGGTTCTTTAGCTTGTTGGGTAGAATCTCTTAGTAAGGGAATTACATGTTGGGGATTAAGTAGTTGAGTGCTCTGTTGGTATATTTGATTGATGTTATTTCTTTGTTTGATTGCATGATTTGATGCTAGAATTAGGTTTGGGATGTTATGGCATTGTTTCGTGTTTAATTCATACAGTTAACATGTTTGGATTGTATGTATATGAGAATTTTTGGGAATTTTGGGTGTAAAAATGCATCCTGAACTGGTTTTCTCGCTTAGTCACGAAGGGCTTGCTTAGAGAGGCTTCAAGTATGGAAAAATTTTGGTTTTCTAGTTTTCTCGCTTAGACACAGATGGATGGCTAAGCGAGAGCTCACTTTGATCTTTCTTTGTAAGACTTCTGGTACATAATTTTTTAGCAGCACTGTTTTTAGCTTATCTTGAGTTTCGAAACTCGAAACGAGACACGGTCAGGTGACTTTGAAATATCATTGAATGAGGTATCACATGGTGGAATATTTGTAATCCATCGAACATATGATTGTTCATGATGGCTGACCAATTCATATGGTGACCTGACATCTCAAGGACCAGACCCGTGTGACTTACTTCTAATGATTGGTATCATGATACTACTAAGAGCATCCATGAATAATGACAGATTTCGCACTTAGCCTCACAGGTACCATAGTTTTAGCTGCTTCTAGGGTACACCTCTGCCTTAAATAAGTGGAAATCGATAATCATGACCTTGGCAATAAACATGTGTTACTCACTTAGCCTCACAAGTATCCTAGTTTCAGCTGCTTCTAGGGTACGTCTTGACCTTAAATAAGTGGTAATCAAGAATTAATGATGAGGACTAACTACTAATGACTAACTTTATACGAATCATTAGAGAATCATGTTATGTGTATGAGAAAATAATGTAAGGAACCATATGCTTCAACATAGACTTGATGATGAATTATTCCGGGTGTAGTGATGAGGATAATGAATAATGACTAACCCTGACTGATCATGGTTGATTACTCACTTAGCCCATTCATGGTATCCATTGTTTCATATTCTTCTATGGTATACAATTGGATTTAAATAAGTGGTAATTGGCAAAGTACTCTGTCATGCAGGGGGCTTGTCCTTGGTAATCATGGATTGTTGCAATCCCATAAGGAATAATTAACCAGAGTCACAATTAACTATTAGGACACCTTATGGCCGAGAGGACACCTAAGATAGGAGAACTCCATTGAGATATAAGTTGTTTATGTTTTTTCATTGTGTTATTACCTATCTGTAGTATTTTATTATATCAGACGCTCTTATCATTTATTTGTACTACCTTGTACTTATGGAGTATCTAAATTGAGTACTGATAGGGCAAATCTAGGCGTGAGGTATAGTATAGGCAAATCTTATGTACTAAGTTGATGAAATTGACTATTGTATTTTCTTATTTATTACGGACTTCCTAGGTCCTAGAACTACACTAGGTGGAAGTTAAGGTGAATTGAGTAGGCGAGGTGCAGTAAATCATATTACAAACTAGTTATGATTCATTTAACCCTGAATGAGACCATAGTGAAATTCTGGTATATCATACTTCAAATGTCCTATGACATGTTGAGACATTTGATCTGAACAAAACACACAAGCAAGTAATAAACATACAAAACAATACTGAAAAGTAAACAACACACCAGAATTGTTAACCCAGTTTCAGAGCATCTCTCCTACTCTGGGGGAATTACCAAGCCAGGGATAAAATCCAATATAATAGTATCAATTTAAAGCTAAACTCCCCCGTTTACAACTTCTCACTTAATCACTACCCGTGCTAACTTTCTACCTGAGACTCACTTAGGTATGAGACCCTGCTCAACTCCCTCGTCAATCACAAACAATGATTGGAAACAAACAGGAAGACACTTCCATGATAATACCTAACCAAGACTCTTGAATAAGAACAATACTGAAAGTTTCCTAAAAGCTTCCTCCAAGAACAATACTCACTCTTGCTTCACAGCTTCGAGGAGAACACAAATCAACTCTCCTAAAGAGTGGCACACAGACTCTGCCCTAATAACTATGTCTTTTAATTCACGGATGGTCCCTTCTTCTAGGCTATAATGATTCTATTTATAAACTTTTTCCCAACTGGATTTGGGCTTAAAATCACAACACATCGGCTATTACAAATTTGTAGAAGATTCTACAACAAAATAGGTCATCAATCAAATCCTTCCTAATTTTTCTCCATAATTAAAAAGTGCATATTTTGCTTGATTCTGGCTTGAATCTCCAGACCTACAAGTCAGCGTCACATTGGATAATATAATATCCTTAAAATATATCCTTTGTAACAACTTAATAGAATATAAAAATCTAGTTGAACCAGTCATGATGGAAAGTGACTCTCTGCATAGGATATCTTGTCCGACATGTTGCTCCAGATGTTGAAACATTTCAACTTAACATGTTCTTCATAAAATAGAACTTCTTGTTCAACCTGTTCTTCCAAATAAGTTAACAGATCCTATTTAACATATTGCTAACTTATTTGTTTTACAAAAATTAATGTCAATCCTAAAAATAAAGAATTAACACATAGAAGGAGGTTAGGCATCGAGAAATTAGATGGATAAAGACTACTGACTATTCTATAGTATTGGCATGATGATCACAGACCATAATGTCAAACTTGAACCATGGTATGCACCATTGTGTGATAGCCCTTTGAATCACATGTGTGTACCATCTGGATGATCACATATGTAGCGTAACATTGTAAGTTGGTATCGTCAGGCCAATTCTTGCTCGACCGTGTCCCGAATGGGTGAACCCTAGAGAATAGAACTCTTAAATTTTGGTATTTCTAAGGATTGTGACTGGGAATACCGGAGAGAGGAAGACCTCAAAAGAGACATGTCCAGTTATGGGACTACTATTACTATAGGGTAAGGGTGGATATCATTGTACGACCTTGAGAAGTTCACTGAGTACATGGCCCGGGAGTTAGACCTTCATGTTAGTGCTTCCAAGACAAGTATGACACCATAATACCCCTATTGTGCACGGGATATATGAGTTATCCTTTTCAGTTAAGTGCGGGATGGTAATGATGCCAGTCCCAATGTATGACTCCAATTATATGCTCATGAGACATGGACTAGTGTTCCTATGAGATAGAGTAGGACAGTTAATGATTCGTACATCGCACTTGACAACTAAGAACTATTGTGTGATTTATAAGCTACATGGGAAATACCTTCACTTCTGCCTCTTTTCAAACGTAGAGGACTAACATACATAGCATAGCTCCTATACGGGCGGTAGCGGGATAAACCAGATTCTGATACTATGCTTATAGAAAGACCCTGAGTGGTCGTAGTCGTGTGAGTAACTCCAAAGTTATACATTTGGGGATGTTATTTTGTTTGTCATGGTATTAGTGGATTCATACGCGTAATTGCCAAGATGGGGTTGTGGGAGATTGTCGTATCTTCAATAACTTTATGTGTGACTATTCAGTTACGATCAATCAATAATAATGGATTGAATAGATTGTATCTTGAGATGGTTCAGTAGGATATGTCTCCAATGAAAGCATTAGTTGACTCTCGAAGAGTAGGAGCAGTGGTAGTTCAGAGAAGCCGAGAACGTGCCAGGATCTTGAAGGTTGAGGCTTTTCGTAGATGAATGTCTGAAGCATGACCTAAGCTTTGTTGCATTATAGCTATTCTTAGGACGCTAGGAGTGCTGCTTCATAAGGTATAATATGGATTTAATGGATAGTCGAAAAAGTCAGCATAATGTCAGATTTGAGGAAGGGAGTTATAGATTTCCGTGAGAATGAATAATCTCTAGGAAGGAAGAGTGTGTCGGTCGAAGCAACATCTAAATGGATGAAAGTCATATGGCCATACAAGTATGGGACTGCATGACCGATAAGAGGTTATGAGGAGGTATAAGTAGGACGATTTCAACGAATATATAGGAAGAGAGGCAATTAGATTAGGCGAGTTCCTTCGCGGAGAGGACTCGCCTTCAAAAGTTATAAACTCGAAGCATGGAACCAAGATCTTCTTCAAGTGGATCTATCCAAGACTAATGAAGTCATTAGTGACCTGATCTCGGGAATTATCTAACATCGAGAAGAGATAGTTGGCATTGAAGAAGAATGAATAAAACTATAGTTAGAGATTAATGGAGTGTTCACAGGATTGCAACTTCAAGTTGAAGTATCTCCTGAGAGGAACTCACGATGGCAATGTTACTTTTTCCCCTGGTTTTTCAAAGATACATCAATATCGGAAGAAGAACCATGGTAACCTTGTATGAGATGGACCTCACGGGAAGTGTAAGTGAAATATATAGTATGTCAACTGGTGGTTTTTTTAGAACAATAAGATTTAGGTGGCATGATGTAGTCATTAAGGAAGCCCTGATGGAAGTAAGGAATCCATCTTGATAAATATCCATTATGGATTTACCATTTGCAGTTGGCGAACATGTGTTGGTTTGAATGGTTGTGGATAGACTAACCATAATCATCCCCTTTCTTACTCGACAAAGAGCACATTTGAGGTTATCAGTCTAGCAGGATTATAGGTGGCAAGGATCGTTTGGTTGTAAGGTATCTAGTCAAGGTGATTTCCTACCAAGACCCAAGATGAATTGAAGTTTGAAAGATTTTGATGCACAATTGAATCTAAAATGGAAATATTGAAGGATGACAAATATCCAAACAGAGTAAAGTGTAGTGAACTATGAAGTTTTGTAAGGCTCAGTGCAAGGAGAGAATGGTTTCAGACTTTAGAAGAATTTGTAACCAAGCATATCAGCGTGGCGTATTAGAGGAGATAGAATTGTAGAAGAGTAAAGAGCTGGAAAGACAACAGGAATAGAATAACCAATAGTACTAAAAGGATTCAAGGAGGTGTGTAGTGGCCAGAGGAAGCAAGCCAATGAGTGTTGTGACCTCTTACTTTGTTGAAATTTGAGAGCGAATTTTAATTCAAGGGGGAGG